AATTTTTATTAACTTGCCGGTATATAGTTTTCTTGGTTGTAGTGTAGCGATAAGACAAATGACAAAAATTCGAGATACGAAGAAAACTATATCCCGGGAAGTTAATAGAATTAGATCTCTTTAAATGTGTATTTTTCATAATGTTGTTGCTAGGTGTTGTTTACTCGGTAGACGTTTTAATCTACCGACATCCACAAATAGAGAATTAGATCAAGTATCGTGTGTTTTAGTTAAAACTAAGCTCAAGGAAAGCATTACCAAACTGCACGAACTAATTATAACGAAAACCAAGCTTAGACAATCTCTCTCAGAATAATTGAATGATGTGGATTTCATTAAGTTGCAAGACATGGCTGACGGGTTAGGAGAAGCGATTGACAGAATTACCCGTCGAATACATGATAAAAAGCTCCGGAATTTATGAATTAGAATAAGGTCGAGAAACTTTGCATCTAAGAAAAATCTTACTAACCATGTTTGTAACAAAGTGGGGAAGGATAAGGTAATCAATTTATCTGGTACAACTGTGGAGGATAGTGTAGTACTTTTAGTGGAAAGAGGATTGAATTTTGCTCTTACAAATTAGGTAAACCATTCTGTGGAAATGCTTGTTGAATTAATTAACTTATTTGATAGATTGCCTGAAGAGGTAAGGAATAGTATTGAACTGTAGGTGATCACTCATTTTGACTGTATATAAGAAGTAAGATAGAGCCGGATAGTGTTTTTGCTTTAGTGTTAACGTGATACTTTTACAAGAATGACGCCCAGTTTTGATGATATCCATCATATGATGGACGAAAGAATAGCACGTTTTCACCCAAAACGAGGGAGTAAGTCTCGTGGACTGCGTCAAAATGAATATCGTATTGAAGCCAAACGGCTGCCGTACAACGAGACTCATTCGTTCGCATCTGGTGAGATCGACCAACGAATCTCTTCTTCGTACACTTTCATTTGAAATGAAGGTCCCTCTAACAATGTCATCTCAGGAAATTCATCAAAACCAACTTTCTCTTCTTATCTACAATATAACCACACAGCATCGAAAGGTCCACAAAATGGATTGCCCTGAGTTCATTGTCTCGACTGCAGCAACTATGTACAGTGGTACATTAGATAGACGATAAAAACAATCAAAATGAGAATTAATTAGTGTCAATGTATATAGAAAAGCATTGATATGAAAAGATCGGAAATAGCAGACACATTACTCTGGCCGGCTACAACATCAAGTGGAAGCATCAGAAAGACCGGGAGAATAAGGAGAAAATAAAAGGAGACTTAAAATTATCGGTCAAAGGAACTGGATGTAGATGAGATTGGAAGAGGAAAGAGAGAGTAAAATACAATTTCGCTAACTACGAGCTTTAGTGACCTTAAGCGGCTAAGATGACAAAAGACTGATTCTGCATAAAATACGTACCAGGAGACCCGGGCGAGGTCAAATCTGCTGTGCAGCCTGAATGAGAATTCATTTTGGGAAGCAAGACCAAGTGAAATTTAATGGATACCAAGGTTCGTTTCATTTCGATGAATCTTGAAAGATGACATTATTGCGAAGTTTTTTTCGCAAGAAGCTGCACGATAAATAGATTTGTAGGTCGACGTTAACCCTAAAACAGTTCACGAGACATCCTTGCTTGTTTTTTGTTAATCTTGGCTTAGCCTTTGCCCATCGTTCCATTAGAGCTGGAACTCATTCTTACAAAAGCCTCAAGTTGGCATCGGGACAACAAGACTGTCTGATTCCATCTTACGCATAAGTAAAAAAAGAAAATACTTGGATTTAAATAGATTATAATGGAATGATTTTGCTAGTTCTCTTTCATACTAGTCATGTTCCTTTACATGCGTGTGCTTGGCCCCATGTGAGTGTGAGTGTTTGTTAACGTCTGTACACAAAACCGGTCTCAAATCAGAGTAATTACCAAAGCCTCAAGTCTTCATGACCCAAAGACAAGGATGACTGAGATTGCAAAAGTCCGCTGCTCTGGTTGGAATGTTCTGGTTATCAGATAAGTTGGTGAATCAGACAGAGTTGTGTGTAGAAAGCAAAACAGTGTTGGTTATTTCTGAATTTTCCTTCGAACCGTAGCTACACAAGTATGGCTAAACATTTAAATTCACTATTTATAGGGGGACTGGACAAGAGCAACAACGGTCGTGAACATATAACTTTGTCGATCAAGATACGTCTTCTGTTAATAGGAAGATAAGAGAGGCTATTGAAGTTTTAAAGATTTGCACTCTTTCAACAGACATGTTAGGCTGATCAACGAAACCAGATGTATGAGATTACGCAACCATTGTCATGCTTTTCATTGGGTTTGCTTTCGTTATCAACTGGGGTTGCTCACGGACTTTTGCAATCTTTTATTTGGGCCATTAAGCTTTGATGACCCGAACCGACTTTAGGCCTTGCTATTTACTCTGATTTAAGACCCATATTGCCTACATGTGTTAACACACACACAGACAAACTTGAAGCCAGAAACACTCTGGTACCATGAAAGAGACCTATCCAAATCATTCAATATCAGTCTATTCATATGCATGTATTCTGATTTTTTTTAGTTTTTACCATAGATAACATGTAGAATGGAATCGAAAAGTCTTCTTGACCTGGTGCTAACTTGAGACTTTTGCAATAACATATTGCAGTTCTGATGATTTCCGTGACATTATGGATGAAATCTCAGCCCGGATTCACCAGAAATAAGGAATGATGTCTGCGTAAGCATGAAGTGTGTATTTTAAGGTTACACCTGCAGAACAACAGCCGTCGTCTTCCGGTAAGATCAACATATGAATCTGCTTATCTTGCACCTTCATCCGAAAGGAAAGCCCCCACAACAGTAAAATTCAATGGCTTCGTGACGCCTAATAATATGATTTTGAAGAATTTACTTTTATTCCTTTTTACCTTAAATTACCCAGAATGAATAAGTCTTTTTCTAGATCTACTAACACTCTTGAAATCCTACTGGAAAACGAATATCGCCTAATGTTTAGGCAAGCTGGAAAGAACTTAGCTTTCAAAACGAGAGCTTGAGAGGAAATGCCTGGATCCAGGAAGTTACACCAAATCTGGGAAGATACCTTGTCAGGAAGAGGTGAATTGAAGTAAAGTGAAGATGATTGCAGTGAAGCGAATTAGTACTTGATTCAGCTTTGATCAGTTTCTGGCTTTGGTCCAAGTCGCCATGACAACAAGACCAAGTTGCGACAACGAGGTCAATCCACTTGCAATTTATACCCATTTAACTTTTGCGGTCGAGGGTGGGGTCACTCTACCGGTTGGCTTCCCATGCATGGGCTAAGTGTTTTGTATGGTTGTGATTAGCTGTAGTTCATTTTATA